AGTGTCGAATGTAGTACAAATGTCTCATGTATTTATAGTTTTTTGGCTGAAAGTAAATCATCATTTCGGACAGCCAATAGGCACATAGACGGTCCTTCTTACTCATCCAATAGGAAAGCTACACGTCGACATTCTAGAATGTTCCACTAGCAGTGATTGGATGGAATGTCTTCGGCTCCTTCTGGGCTTCTCGAGGCTTCTTTGAGTTTTCCAACGAACCATCCTTTTAGTAATTCAACTTAGTCACTCAGACAACCTGTGTAGCTTCATAATAAATTGAATGATATGCCCAGGGGCAATTAATAATAGAAAATGTGTTATCACAAGTGGTATCGACGTCAATACCATGAAGAACTTTGAGGGTGCTACTGTCAAAGGTTTTCGCAGCTTATAGACTATTCGTATTTCATTTTATATCTAGATGAATAAATATTTAACTCATTATAACTGTCGTTTGCGAGACAACATCTGAATTATGGGGCTGAAGTAGCGAGTCTTTCTTTCAAATATGAAGCGAATATACTTCAGAGTATTCTAAATGGTCACACCTTACCGATACGTGGAAATTCAATAGTCCAAAATGCCTCCTCATGAAGTGATTCTGATACCAAAATGACAAGAAATCGAAGACAAAGAAATTCAAAAGTGTGCTTGGATTACATGCCAATGTATCATGATGTATGGATTCTGAGCTAATTAGTTATCATAGACTATATGCTGCACTGTAACCCAACGTGATAATACTGGTTACTGTAGTCTGAACACCAAATTTAGTAATAATATTGTGATGTTTTTTGGAGACGGTGCATTTGTCAGTGGAGCTAGTCGTTTCATATCTGGTCTAAAACCATTACCATCAACTAGGTATCCAAGGCATTCAAAACTAGATACACTAAATGAACACTTATTTGGATTCACTGTAATATTCTTCTCAATTAAACGACGCAATAAAGCAATAAGTCTCTGGTCATGGACTACTTTATCAGCACCATGAACAATGAGATCATCTTGATAAACTTCAACACCTTCAATATCGCTGACTATCTTATTCATGACCTCTTGAAGTATGGCTGGAGAACAACTAAGACCAAATGGAAGGAAGTTGTATTTGAACAGACCAAAAGGAGTGTTAATTGTTGTCAAGATAGATGAAGATTGGTCTAAAGGGATTTGAAGATAAGCATCTTTCAAGTCAACTTTCGAGAACACTTTAGAACCATGAAGCCGATTTAGAATATCTTCAGCCTCCATCGTCGTGCATGTTTGCTTCAACAAACGGGAGTTCAGTGTCAATCTGTAATCACCGCATATTCTAGGGGTCTTGCCATCCGATTTCAATGGCGTAACAATAGGAGTACCCCATGCTGAGGACTGAACTGGTTCAATTATACCTTTCGCACACAAATCATTCAGTGACTTATGTACTGCTTCTCGAAGACCATAAGGAATTATTCGTCTTTTAAGAAAGACCGGATCACCCTGTACTTGAAGTTTAATGGGCTGAATTTTCATACCTCCACTACACTTAGCACACACAGCTATCAAATCCTTGAGTAAAGCATCAGAATTCTCTGTAGAAACTAGTAGAGACAATTCCACTTTAAGCCTTTTCAGATTTTTTAAACCCAGTATGGACAGTCCTGTTTCACTAACTAAAAATTCACAAGGTACGTATGAAGAATTATCATCTCTTATTAGCAATTTACAACATCCTCGTATAGGTAGTCTGTGTCCAGTAATCCCCAGTATTGAGACCTCAGTGGGTTTTACCACAACATTAGGATCTAAAGATTTCAAGTTCTTGAATGAAATAATGGACTCTATACTACCTGTGTCCACAATAAAGTCATGAAATGAACCAAGGGATGTATATAATCGCTTTTGAATATGAACATTCCCTTTTGAAGTAGTGGATAAAGATAAATGATCATCAAGAACAGCCGAATTATTGGGATCTAAGTTACCAGACTTAGTAATACTTGAAGCAAAGTGAACAGTAGTTTTGCACACTGACTGAATGTGTCCTATCTTGCCACATTTAAAACATTTAGCATTACGAAATGTACATGAATTACGAAAATGAAATTTGCCACAAGATAAGCATTTACCAAACTTATTCTCACCTTTGTTGTTTGCTTTGCAGTTCCTTGTTAAACCACCTTTCATATTTCCACGGGAATAGCAATCACGATTAAACGAACGCAAATTTGATCGACCCTGAGATTGTAATTCATCATGACGACTAAGCAAAGTATTAGAAATTTTCATCGATTGAATATCAAGTTCATTCACTGCTTCGTAGTTAATACATGCAGTTCTAGCATTTTGAAAAGAACAGTTCGGCATTCTTAACAGCTCCTTTTCCAGACCTGGTATGTTAATTCCAGCAATTAACCGATCTCTCAACTGTACATGAAGCTGATCACCAAAATTGCATTTGGCAGCTTGTCTTTGCAATTCAAGGATGAAGTCTTTAACCTTCTGGTTATCCTGACGAATCATCTTATGAAATTTTGCTCTCTCACGACACTCAAAACTGGTGCACTTCACATGGTTTAATAGTAATTCCTTGAGAGTTGTATATGGGAGTGAAATCGGCTTATCTGGATATGCCAAGGTTTTTAATAAACTGTAGGCTTCTTGACCGATGAATGTAAGAAAATGTGCCACAATTTTGTCACCCTTCATATCTTTCTTGGTCATGCTCCATATCTCAAACCTTTCAAGGTAATCCTCACAGAATTACGTTCACTAGTGGGTGCTCTTCAGTACTATTCTCGTTTTATTCCTAATTTTTCTTGTCGTGCCAATTGTTTATTTAATATTTTGACATCCAATTCATTCAAATGGGGTGAAGAACAAGAGTCATGCCTACGAAGTCTGCTAAAGTTTCTTCAAAGTGATGCTGTCCTTCGAACTTACTCACCCAGTGTACATTCTGTTCTTATTACTGATGCGTCACCTGTAGGTATTGGTGCAGTTTTGGAACAGGAAGGTAGGCCAGTTATATGTGTTTCACGCAAACTTTCTGTTGCTGAACAAGGTTATTCACAAACGCAGCGAGAAGCGTTAGCTGTGTTTTGGGCTGTTAAAAGACTTCATAAATATTTATTTGGAAATAAGTTTACCATTGTTACTGATCATGAAGCCTTAAAGTTCATTTATCATCCTGACAAATCCTTAGCACGTTCCTCAGCTGCTATGGTTCAACGATGGAGTATTGCTTTGAGTGCTTATGACTATACGATTCAGCACAGGAGTGCAAAACAAATTCAACACGTTGACTACATTTCTCGACAACCATTACAAGATAGACCTGTTAATACTTCAGACTGCTTGTTAGTGCAACCTTTACCGGTGAGACGTCCAGATCTCATTAGAGAAACTCGTAGATACTTTGGATGTATACTCAGTGCTATACGGAAGGGTTGGAATGCTAATCTGAAACGTAGATTTCCTGTCTATTATTCAAAGCGGGATGAGTTATCTACTACTCCTGACGGTATTTTGTGTTTAAATGATCGTGTTGTTATTCCTCCTTCATTACGCAAACCTGTCCTTGATGATCTTCATAGTGGACATCTTGGTGTTGAGAAAATGAAATCCTTAGCAAGACTCACATGTTGGTGGCCAGAGATAAATGCAGATATATGTCGTACAGCAAACAATTGTGAGAAATGTCATAAGCTAAAAAGTCTGCCTTCGAAGTGGACTCCATGGCCAGTATCGTCTGAGGCCTGGCAGAGAATTCATGCAGACTACTGTGGTCCATTTCTTGGCAAATACTATGCACTTGTAATTATTGATTCTTTTTCTAAGTGGCCTGAAGTTTTTTTCACAACTTCACCGAATTCTGACTTCACAATTCAAGCATTAAGGAAGGTGTTTAGTCGAGAAGGAGTTCCCATGGTGTTGGTGACTGATAATGGCTCTCATTTTGCTGCAGATGCAGTCACTAATTGGTTAAATGGTATAGGGTGCAGACATCTGTTTACGGCTCCCAGGCACCCTTGTTCCAATGGTCAGGCAGAAAATTTCGTAAGAACATTGAAAATTGCTATTGATTCTATTGCTGCTTCGACATTCAATGAACTGGAGAGGGGAGTAGATACATTTCTACTTCAATATAGAAATGCTAAGCATTCTGTGACGAAAGAGACTCCATCAAAGCTATTAAAAGGAAGAATTCTCCGTTCGAATATGAGGTGTTTGGAGTCTGCAGAAGTTACGTATTATCGTGGTAATGATCTTCGACCAGCCACGGGGATCGTGGTGAAGAATGTTGGAAAATCTATGGTGCGAATTCTGGATATCAATGACTTGACCATACATAACCGACACGTTGATCAAATACAATACCAGAATCCAGGTGAGTCTGTTCCAATTTCGGTTGTTAATTCTAATACTAATGAGTGCATTCTAGATAATACAGAGTCTACATCCAATACACCGTCGGACAGATGTAAGATGAACTTAAGAAGAGGACGAACAATCGATTACAGACACTTACACTCCAATTCGAGCTGTGGCGGATGTGATGTTTAAATAAATCAATGACTTCTTCGTATTGATGACTGTTGTAATTTTGAATTCCAAATACAATACATTCGTTCGAGTTCATCTGGTACTTCTTGATTAAGTTGCGTTATTCCTGGGATTACTAGTTCATACTACAATTCAAATACTTCTAATTATCATAAATATGTTTACAGATTTCCTTATTTCCATTTTAATGATGTTTAACTGACGCTTAGTTTGGGTTAAGTATGCGGACTTTTTACCTTAATGTCCTGTTTTGAGGTTTACGATGCTGTCACAAAAACATGCAAAACTGAAGTGTGGTTTGTTTCTAAACCGGACCTTACAGAACGGATGAACAAATGAAGTTTGGTCATTGCATTTTCTATATTAGTCTTTGATCAAAGGTCAACTGACATCTTTCTCTACTATGTAGTATTTATTTCTACATCAAATGAAATGACTACAGCTTACGTTGGCTGTTTCCGTCATTTTTCTCCCAACTGCAGTATAAATTTAGTAGTACTATGAATAGTGAAAGTTGATTGTAGAGCTAGGAAATTATTTTTTAGTTTTCTTTGCAATGTCTTCGCCATATGAACAGTTTACTGAGCGGGCAATTCGAGTATACGAATCAGGTTGTTGAGTTTCGTCTGATGTTTGTTTTAAGTGGCTATGCCCACTCGTCGCAAGAATGTTGACTTAAACAGACTGAAACGTTCTTGTAAAAGAAGCAAAGTCTTCGAGTTACTATCTTTGGCGTAAGTATTCGAAATATTATCAACCGTCTTCAGTTATGTCCAATACCTCCTGGTATTCATAATATGGGGAGTACTGTTTGTAGTAAATCAATCAACGGACATGAGGTTTGAGTACTTTTGGCCTGTTTGGCTGTCTGTTTGCTCGATACATGACTCACTGAAGTTCCAAGGACTGGTAAATATAATGTCTGTTCATATTTCACATGCAGCAATACACAATTGTATTTATCATTATTTTGATTACAATTGATTTAATATGTTTCTTCTTGGTACCTGTGTCATGGGTTTACACATTCGGCAGTGTGCATGTATGGGTATACATTCTGCGGCATACTGGTTAGTGTGATGACCGACCGAATAATAAATTTAGATCAAGGGTTGTGTTTCCTCACTTTGTCGCTGTGTTTTGTTTTCATATATTTCGAATTTAGTCTCTACTCAAAAGCAACGAAACCCACTCACGGCATTTATGTTTTCCGTCCATTTGCAGCACACAGGTATGATCAAATTAGTATGGTTATACGTTAATAGCATTGGTTATTCGGTAGTTTGTGTGGGATTTTCTGTAAAACGGTACCTGGATATCAACTATCGAGATGTAGGTATTTTTCGAGTTTTACTCAGGATGTTTAGTTTAAAAGGATGAATGTCAGAAGACAAAATTACATGCATTTTCGAATTCTTTATGAAGCTCTCCCACCTTCATCGGTAAATGACAACGCTTGTAAGTTACTGTTACGTTCAAACATACTTGAATCAGACGTTCAACATAGTCTTGATTATTTTCATAAGGATTCCATAGAAGTTCACGAAGTTGTATTGTCCAATGATGTGAGTTTTTGTCAGATTTTTTAAAACCTCATTACTCTTTTACCTTTAATATCGTAGTACATTTTTGAACAGATAGATTACATACGGTTATATATTCCAATGGCTTACCAACCTCTAATTGCTTACAATGCTCTACGAATACGCAGGGCTTACATCATTTAAATATTTACGTGAATAAGTATTCTGCTTATGACAAGATGTAACTGCTAGAGGTCTTAAGTGATTTTTTCCACCTATCATCAAAATCTGTACCCAACCTTATGCGGTAAAGATTATTTGTTCCTGATGAATTGATGTCAGATATCTTAAATAGTGGGTCGCCAATCCTAATGATCAATATTATTAGTTAGCGTTCGGTAACTGAACAAAATTTTATCACTTTAATTTTTACAAAAGGAGATGAAAACTCCCTCGTGGTAACAACATAGTCAGTTTTGTTTGTTTGTTGTTTAAAATATTAGCGTTGATGACCGTTTGATGCCTAAATAGAGATCCTCAACAACAAACCCAAGAAAACCAATTTAGTCCAAATTTGGTCTTAACTATGTAGTTACAGTCACTTGCTGAAGTGTGACACTAGTCAATACGTCAGCTACCATGTTACAGTGACAAACTTCTGATTTTCGCCGCGTGGAGTATTCATTTTGGTAGGTCTAAACCTTCTGGTATGGTTTAGATCTACAATCACTGACTTTACAAAGAAGTGCTATTTCCTTGTTTGCTCATTGTTTACCTTTTTCAACATGTTTTAACTCAGCAGCTTATTGGTAACATCATAGCTCTTAATTGGGAAAATATTCAAATACTACGAACCTTTTCCTTAGTTAAGAAACAGGATATACACAACTGATCCCTCCCAAAACAGCTCCATCTCCCGTCATTAATATTTTTGTGAAAAATTGATACAGTTTACACTATTATCTTTGTGTGGTGTCTAACTTCTGTTCTGTCCCCGTATAACTAAAAGCTACTTGATGCAAAAGAGTGATAAAATATCGCTTAAACCATTATAGCTTACTACCATACCATTCCTTGAACAGGCTGTAGATTCTTTTCATAACGATGCAAATAACACCTTGGCATGCCAAACATTTTCTTTGTCTTGCTCTCGGTTCTTACAGTTTATTAGTGTACTGAGGAACATCCCTTATCGTCCTATGAGTTTCATGCGATGGGCTTGAATTATGCATCTGTTCTGAGTTTATAATAATAAGTACGCTGAGCTCGTTGAAGGACTAAAATGTGAGCGGTTATTTCCATTTTAATGATGTTTAACTGACGCTTAGTTTGGGTTAAGTATGCGGACTTTTCACCTTAATGTCCTGTTTTGAGGTTTACGATGCTGTCACAAAAACATGCAAAACTGAAGTGTGGTTTGTTTCTAAACCGGACCTTACAGAACGGATGAACAAATGAAGTTTGGTCATTGCATTTTCTATATTAGTCTTTGATCAAAGGTCAACTGACATCTTTCTCTACTATGTAGTATTTATTTCTACATCAAATGAAATGACTACAGCTTACGTTGGCTGTTTCCGTCATTTTTCTCCCAACTTCTATTTATAAGTATTTGTGACAGCAAATCTTTCTGCTGAACAATTTTAGAAATTAATTGTATCCGTAAAGGGTTTGTCATTGATTCAAATTTTTCAATGGCAACCCTACTCGCTAGAAAATATTAAAAAGAGGTCTCTTAAACTCATACCAAAGAGTTAGGGAGAACTTTATACTCTTTGCATTTCCGAAAAGGAAATTGTTAGGTTGAGGCTGCTCCTTGCTGTCGTATAATCTAACTTTACTTGTTCTTAGTTCATCTTTCTGAGTCCTTAGTCCCAACACCATCCCGCATTTTCCGTTCTTCATTGTAATCGTCTTTTTTGAGCGATATTTTTATGGTCGGTTTTCCAATACTTTTAACACCAATAAGTTGAAAAGTATGACTCAAGCAATAGTCTCCCCTTGTTACCCTAACCTAAATTTTGCTGACATGCTAATGGGCATCGTTATCAGGTCCTACCTTGCTCACAAACGAATAACACAATGCTTCCACCACTCGTTATGTGGAAATTCTCATTGTTATATTGACCCCCGGAGACATCTTATTCATTAGACATGAGACCACAATATTAGCCCCAACTACCTTCAAACTCTAGAACGATGCGCACCTTGATTGTCTTCCTTTGTTCTCTTTCCCTAAGCCTAATAAGATCGACTGGTAACCACTTGGTGATATCCACAAAATTCTATTATCAGTTCTCATAACTAATTTCATCGCAGACTAGGTTTGGAGCTAGGTTATATCAGTTCGAGTTTTATTGTCACGTTCTCTTAAATGCTGAGTTTATTTTCTACATATCGTGCAACTTGAGCAAGTAAGTCATCGACGGGTCTTGTTCTCATTCGTCCTTAGAGTTTCATACGACCACAGATCAGGGTCTCATTCTAAGAAGAGATGCTCAACCATTCTTCCATTTTACCCGGTTATGCAATTTGAGTTTCGAAATTATTCCGTACTTTCGATTCTATGAACTATGAAAAAAGATTCCTCATGTCTAGTGTTTTTTCACTTCAACTGATACTACTACTTCAACCACTTTGACATTCATCCCGATAATTTCCCCCGACTGTGCTGACGTGGTATGGGAAATCGGACCGACGCAAACGCATACCAGGTTCTACGCTGCTGATGACTAACTGAATGATAACCTATGTGACAAATGTAATAAAGTCAAAGCCTGGTAGGAGCAGTGTTCTGACTTTTGTCTAAGGTTAATACAAGCCACGCGGTGTTCGTTTTGGGAAAAATTCCAAGAAAGCATTACCATTGAGATAGCGAATAAAACTTGTAGCTCAGATGGACGCTTTTAGTGACACTGATTCCTCCGACCCAGATAGTCTATTTGCAAGGCATTCATTGTCCTTTTAGACAATGTCTTCAGCGTCTACATGAAGTATACTTGACTAACATTGTCAGAATATTACTCAGATTCTCTAATACAAACCTTAGCATTTTGTTTGAATACTGAAGTATTCTGTTACACAACTACACATTGAAGCGTCAATATTTGAAGCAGCTTCGAAGATTTTTGGTAAGATGTCTCCACTATGTCTCTGTGGCCGACAGTTATTAAGTGCGTATGCAAGACATTAAACTCGATAGTCAAGGATTAGGTTCATTAGATGATCTGATATGTTTGTATTCATCTATCAATAGAAGAGTAGAGTTTTACTGGGTGTTATAACATGTGGCCTGCGTGTCCTAATGTCTTACAGAGTTACTTATCCGGCAGTACCAGAAGGAAATACACTAGCCGAGTGTATGTTCGGAAGAAAAGTCCGGACAGTTTTTAACAATATGTTGCCACTCAGAAAGACAAATAAACCCACGAATGAGTATCGTATGGTCACTCGTAGCTTCCGGGTGGGTGAAAGGATACTTGTTAAATCGTATCAAGGCGACAGGAAGTGGGAACCAGGTGTTATAGAACGTCGGATTGGAAGTGTATTGTACCTAATCCGGAAAGATGTCGGAACGTATATAAGACACATAAATCAAATTCAAAGGGACGACAGAACATTGATGACAAAAAGCCGACCCCCGTTTCAATTGCTCGTGGATTCATCTCGAAAAAGCCCTCAGGCGCGCGAATGTAAAAGAGATAAACGACACAAGGGTAAAGCGGTACAACCTTCGAGAGTGATGAGCCGCAAGAGGAATGCGGTAACCAAGTTTCAGGATCCAAGAAAGAAGTCTTACACAACAGACTTTACAGGGAGGAGGTGTGAGGACGGTCCACAGGTGAAGTTGAGGAAGCTCTAAGAAGCCCAGAAGGATCCGAACATATCCCATCCAATCAGCCTTTGGAAAAATATTCCAGAATCATTACGTGTAGCTTCCCTATTGGACAAATGCTAATAACCCCCTATGTGCGAATCGGATAACTATAATGATGATTCCGTTTTTACTAAAAACTATCAATACCTGACAGTTTTGTACGACAATTGACACTGTTTGGAATAACATTCCTTCCACTTGTATTCTGTCTTCTTATTTTGCGACTTGGGAAGGTTCTAGCGTTCGAGAGCTTAAGTTATACGCGACGTACTAGGAATCTAAGTTCGAGATATAACACTGAGGACCCGTGTAGCATTTTGACATCCAACGAATTGCGTTGTGAGCTGTCATCTCTCAACCACTTCACATTGATACATTCGATATATTAGGTTTCCAATTATCAGACTTTATTTTCAATGCTAATCGTTGTGTTTTTCATTTTTGAGAATGTCTTATGTTTATTAGTTCTCATCAGATTTTTCTAGTCGGTCGGTATTCATACTTTTTCGCTTTGGTCAGTCGTGTTTTGGTCGTTTAGCTCGATGGGCTTTCAGCTATTTTAGATCTATTGATAAACAATACTTGGATTTTGACAGGTATGCTTTACTTATTTTATCATGGTATTTTAAAATCCCATATTATAAGCTATATGCTCTGTTTGAATTAAGGAATGTATTTCAACTGGTGCATCCTAAATTGTTTATACAGTATTTGTGGAACAATAACGCATGTTATTCTTTAGACTTAAAACTTTGAAATTCCATCAGAAAGATTGAGTCATTCATTTTTCTGTCGAGCACGTAAAACATTTGTTGAGAATGGTCAATCCCCAAATAAAAGTAGTAATAAAGGAAATCAGTATCTATTATGATGAGTTTGTGATACATTAAATTGTTTAGTGTGGACTATGCTCATGGATTTTTAACACATTACCGTTAAAACGTGTGTTTCTTGACGCATACTAAGTTCATAAATGCGAATCATTAGCCTAGATGTGTATTCGTATATATTGTGGTTGTTAAAAAGGCTTCCATTACTACACTTCTCTCTTCTCGTTAGCGGAGCAGGAAAAAAGTGGATAGAAATAGTCTTGTTGACTATACTGAAGTCGAAATTGCGAAATCTTAGCATAGTCCACTTACGTTTCAACAACGTATAATGTCAAACATTCCACAATGCACTTGTTAAGGCATAGGGACAGGCCAGAAATCCTCAACGAACTCTGTTCTTGGCTCTCCTTTCCAATTGTTCCCTGGTGCTGTTTATTCTTTGATGTCTACCTCCAACTCTCGAGGCAATGCGTTCATTGGTTTTTACTCTTTTCCTTTCATCTTAAGAATTCAAAGTTGGGGCTTGCATTGTGATGTTGCTTGGTGATTGCCATCAAGTTTGGCCTATCCACCCCTAGCGTCTTTTCTTAATTTCCTCTTCAACTAGTTGTTGGTCTGTTCTGTGATAGAGTAGGTTATTACTGGTGGTGTCTGATCAACAGATCTAGAGTACCCTGCGTAGACAACTATTTATAAAATACCTGTACCTTTTTCAATGATGGTTGTAGCAGTTCTCAAAGTTTCATCTCCGTACAACAGAACTATCTTGATTTTTGTATTGAATTATGAGTTCCGAATCCCCTTCAATTTTGTGAGTGTTGGTCTTGCTCTGCCAATCCGTGCCTTTACGTCTGCATCACACCCCGCTTGCTTATCAGTGATACTGCTGAGGTTCTTAAAAGTTTTTCCTTCCAGAGCTTCCCCATGAAGTTTGACTTGGTTGGTCTTTGCTTTGTATTTTGAGGATATTGCTTTTTCCCATGTGAATGTTGAGGCCTACTGCTATAGAGGCTGTCACTATTTCTGCTGTCTTCACCTGCATTTGTTGCTGTGAATGGGATAGAGAGGCTAGGTCATCTATAAAGTTCAAATAATTTAACTGCATCCAAGCTATCCACTGTATCCTGTGCTTCTCCTCATTTATGGAAGTCTTCTACCACTTAACCACCAGAAGAAAGAGAAAGGGGGAAAATGAGCAGCTTTGTCTGACATTGGTCTTCACTTGGAATACATTTTCGAACTGCCCTCTGTGCATGACTTTGCAGTGTAGTCTGTTGTAAGAATTCCGTACGGTTGTGACAATCTTCTCAGATACGTCATAGTGTCGAGGAAGGTCTCATAAAGTTCTATTCATTCCGTCGAATGCTTTTCCATAGTCAAGTGAGTTGGTGTATAGTGATGAGTCCCATTTCATCAATTGTATCGCAATTTGGTCGATACATAATTGATCTTTACGAAATCCAGTATGTTTGTCTGGAAATTGAACCTATACTGAATCTTTCATTTGGTTTGGCAACAGCATTGAAAACTTTTCATGGCATTGATAATAGTATGATGCTTCTAGCCCTCGCACGTTCTAAGATCTCTTTTCTCCGGTATCTTGATGAGATATCTCTCAAGACTGTCAGCACTTGTTCTTCCTGCCAAATCTTTCTAAAGAGAAATTGGGGCATCTCTGCAGTTACTTCCATGTCGGAATTCAATGCTCCATCTGGTATGGTGTTCAGTTCTTCTGCTTTACCATTCTTGATTTAAAACAATTATATGAACGAAGAATATATTTGTGAACAGCTTAGAGAACAGGAAATAGTAACTACAGTCCCTGTGGAGACCATCGAAGAATTGCTACTAAAATGTACTATGAATGTACATTTCAAATTCAATGGTGAAATCTACAGACAAATAGATGGTGTCGCGATGGGTTCACCCCTAGGTCCCATATTGGCTGATATTTTTCTCGCGAAACTAGAAAACGGCCCACTCACACGACAGATTGAAAAGTTTTCACTTTATTGCCGATATATGGACGACACATTCATCCTATGTAACGACTATACCGACTTAATGGAGACACTACAGCTATTCAATACAGCCCATCCGTCTATTAAATTCACATGTGAGGAGGAAAATGGAGGTAGGATCGCTTTTCTAGATGTTCTTACAAAGAGAAAAGACGGTTCATTAAGGAGAAATATAAACAGGAAAACATCGTGGACGGGTCAGTATACTAACTTTCTTAGTTTTGTTCCTCTACAGTACAAAAGGAACCTAATTAAGACATTACACTATAGAATTAAGACCATATGCTCTGAAGATACGGTCGAAGAAGAAACAAAAGCATTATATATGACCCTGAGAGAAAATGGATACCCGGAGAAATTTATAAATAAAAACATAACTAATAAAAGAGACCATAAAGAATGTTTAATTGTGAATAAAAAACCTCTGTACATACGTCTACAATTCAGAGGTGACGCACCTGGTGAAATGGTAAGATTGAAACTACGAAGATCAATCGAAAGGACTTTTAATGCAGGTAAACTACAACTAATGTTTTCCACACGCCCAATGATCACGCTGACATTAAAAGATAAATTGCCTAGACTAGCCACTTCTTTCTGTATCTATCAATTCAACTGCTCCTGTGGAGCAAGTTATATAGGCAGATGTTCTAGGAATTTGTATACTCGGGCTCGTGAACACCTTCCAGAGTGGTTAAGCAAAGGTGTAGTCAGAACGGTTAACAGCTCTGTTTTAGCCCATTTAGTTCAGACGGGACATAGAGCCGACATTGAGCAATCTTTCACAGTAATATATCGTGTAAATAGCAGTCTACCTAATTCTGTCAGACAGAGAATCCTGCAGACGGCTGAGGCAATTGCTATTCGGATAAAAAAGCCAGAGCTCTGCATCCAAAAGAAATATGTACAGCCACTCCTTTTACCCTGGCCAACTGCAGGGTCAACTTGTTAATAATCAATTTTGTAATATGGTGACATTAATTTGATTAATGTTCACTTCTATATCTCAAACTTAGTTTATCTACACATCTTATCAGTCATTATTCTTATTCTTATTATCTTTATTATTATTATCACACCTGCTAACCTTTTATAGAAATTTATTTATCATCCACCCCCTATCTACTATATCTGATCTAATTTATATAATTCTACATATTACGTAATTTCCGATTTGTAATCCTATTTTTGTAGCTCTCACCCCCATGTCAACTATATATATTCTGATAATTTATCTTACGATTTTATTTCACCTATAAACTGATTCAAGTTAACACTTCATATTAGTCATCCGAAAAACATTAATGATTCGATCTTATTTTATATGACAAACAATCCTTGATTCACATATTACAGTTTCTTAAATTGATGTACTCTGCCTTAAACTTGGCCAATCTTCTTTTATGGATTATTAATTTATAATTGTAGAACCTGATGAGAAATTATTGAAAAGAATATTCTTCGTTCATATAATTGTTTTAATATGATGGGAATTTTTCAGCCATTCTTGATTTGTCTGATGGCCATGCTGATTTCTTCTATTGTTACTGCGATAACATCTTTGGGAAGGTTCGTGTGTGTTGCTTTGATGCCTAGCGGGTTCTGTTGAGCCGATCTGTTTAAGAGCTTTTGATAATGTTGTACTTTTCTGTTCCGTTGCTCTTGAACTTCACCGTTTATTTTTATCTTTCTTCTTGACTGGTCGCTCTCGTTCACCATATTTTCCCTCTAACTTCATCGTATTGAATGGCTGTATTATGTTTCCTTTTCTTGCAGCTTTTTCCTGTCATTGCTAGGTCTTCCAAATATTTCCGCTTTTAGTCCTAGTGCTTCTCCTCATGTGATTGTTTGCTTCTGTGTATTCGCCTTGGCTTCCTCTGTTCCTGTTCGACCCCCAAATGCCCTGGTACGGCCAAAAATGAGGAGAGTCCGCCCATTTCGAAATGCTCTCACGTGTCTGATAAGTCTTGCTGATTGAACGCATTATTCGGATCCTAAGCTAGTCTTGTACCCCCAAGCTAGAACTACACAGCGACTTAAACACGAGAGAAAAAGCACAAAATATACGAGAAGCACTTTACTCCGAAGGTTCATTTATGTACAGAAAATATAGGGTTTTTATAGTATTTTAAAAGTCCTTGGGATTTCCTGAAAATTATGGAATGCTACTAAACATAGTAGCAGTGTAGTAATCAGCCAATCAGAACCTCTACATGTGACTTTTCATTTTTCGCGATGTTTCTAGCAAAACTTCTAATCAAACGCTGATTGAATAAAATGCTTCTTAATGTTTTCCAGAGCTTGTCATGTCTATTGCGAGAAATTTGCAGGATCATCACAACACCTTCCCT